CCAAGTTTATACTGCCTGGTGTCTTTTATTTTTTAAAGATTTATTTATGGGTCTGGTACGATAGCCTAGTGGCTAAAGTCCTAGCTTTGCAAGCACTGGGAATCCAAATGGGTGCTGGTTCTAATCCCGGAGACTCTGCTTCCCATTCTCCTTGATTGTGGCCTGGGAAAGCAGTTGAGGATGGTCCAAAGCCTTGGGACCCTGCACCCACGTGGGAGACCCAGAAGAAGCACCTGGCTCCTGGCTTCAAATTCGCTCAGCAGGCAGATTTTCCTCTCTGTCTCTCCTCCTCTCTGTATATCTGACTTTGTAATAAAAATTTGAAAGAGGAAATGTAGAGAAAGACTCCATCCACTTTTCTATTTCCCATATGGTTTTCTTCCCCATGTGGTTACAACAGCCCAGCCTGGGCCACTCTGAAGTCAGGAGTCTGGAATTCCAATCTGTTCTCCCACATGAGGGGCAGGACCCAGGAACTTCTGTTGCTCTCCTAGGCACATTCACAGGAAGCTCAAAATTGGAGCAGCCAGGATTTGAACTGTCAGTCTGAATGGAGGTTTGGACCACAAGCTGTGGCTTAACCTGGTGGATCACACTGCTAGCCTCTGTATGATAACTTTTGAATACTAAATTAGCTACACACATATAAATTTGGAAGATTTTGATAACCTTTCACGTTTGCATATGAACACTGAGCATGTTTTTTGTTGTTGTTTGGTTTACCATTTATTTCTTCAGTCTGCCTGATTCCATGTGCTCATTGAACTTGGTAGTTCCTGGGTTAGTAACTAAAAGTCGGAGAGTCCTGAGTTCAAACTGCCGTTCAACCACTTGATAACTATTCAGTTATAATCAAATCGTGTAGGTCAAGTTTGCTTATTCATTAATGGGAATATTAACTAAATTTTGCAGTAGTGAAGATTGAATAAGGTGAATACATGGGAATTATTTAGCATGCTCAATAAATGATATTCGTAATGTGTTATGATAATAATCGGTGCCAGTGTGGTGTGGAGGTTACGTAACTAGACTTGCTCTGTTGTCCCATTTCTGCTAACACATAGCTGTTTAGCTGTAGGTTTGATGGCCCCATCTCTTATAAGAAGGGGTGGGATGGGGTCAGTTGGCTTATGACAAGTTGCAAGAAAGTTCAACTTAAACTACCCTAAGTAATAAAACATGCATTGCTTGATTTTTGCTGAGATGTATAATCAGAAATGTGAGGAGAGTGCAACTTTCCATGGAGTTGGATCCAGTAGTCAATAATATTACTGAGGAGTCCATTTTTTTCTATCTCTCTGCTTGGCTTTTGTGATATATTCAGCTATAGGTTAGCTATTTTTCAGGTTACAGAACCATTGCTTCTCGGGCTTAGGACTTTGTGGTTTCTCATTCGTATCTGTAGCAAAATGCTAAGCTTGTTTCGTTGTTTTTGGTGGAAGTTTGGCATGCATGGTATTTGAATTATTATTTCAAGTTTAAAGCCTTTCCTTAAACAATCACTGTGGCCAGGGACATGGGAAATTATGATTAATGTGGCCTTGGTCCATGTGCTTTATTCCCAGAATAGAGAGCATATCAACTCCCCAGCAACTCGTGGAACTTACCCAGTGGGGCTGGCTGCCTCTAGAGTTTTCCCCAAACCCTGGGCTTGTGACTCCTGTTGGACCCCTGCCAACCGCTATATGGGGTGCAGAACTTGTTGTGGCTTCCCAGTTAGATCGGCCCTTATTTTGGTATGGAAGGACACACTCCCCGTAGCTCCTCTGAGAAACCCATATGGCCATTTTGCACAGGTCCTTGGCATGCTTCCCTTTAGAGGAGAAGAAATTTGGCTTGGGCACATGGGCTTGTCCTCACTGCTTTTTATGAATACCTTTTTTTTTGTGGCAGTTGCTTTCCAACCCTCTCTGGTGATTGTTTCTCAGAGCTAGTTTTAGGGATGGATGGGGAATGGTCTTCATGCTCTCTAAGATATTAAACAGGTAGATGTTGGAGCTTGGAGAGTTTTCAGTCTGTGTCTAGCTGTGTGGGCAAGTACTGCCATGTCCCTGTTATTTTTTCATCAGAGAAACAGGTGCCTAAGATATCCAGCTCCGCGGACTGCTGTCACGCACAAGGAAGGGAAAGTGCACAGAGATGGTGTGAGGTTAGCTGCTGCTCTTCAGAAAGGCCTGTCCATCATGCTGACTGCAGTAGTTCCCCAGCTGCTCTGATCGCTCTGTCATGGCGCATGCTTGTTTTCTTGGTATTCCATTAGAATAATTTTCTTTGTTGTCTCTTTCCTCTCATTTAAATCTTAAGTTCTTGAGAGCAGGATATGCATCAGTCTGATTCCTCATTGGTTGCTGCCGTGGGTGATTGCAGCTCAGTCCTTACTGGAGATGTTTAGAAGATGGAGGAGAGCGACCCAGGGTATCCATTCTGCATCTCCCTAGTCATTAACGAAGGGCTGTTCCTCAGAGCTGTCGATGATTTGATTCTTCTAGCCTGCCCTGTCTTAGGCAAACTGGGGCCTGTAAGACAAGGTCTGTGAGAGTCAAGAGTGCACACAAAAAAGTTCCAGTTGGTAGCAAAAGTCCACCTACACAGTCATGGTGATTTCCAAACAGCCATGGCCTCTGCAACCTGGTTGGGTTCCCATGAGCAGGTGATCCCTGGCAAAGGTGTGATTCCTGGTTGGTTGATCCAGGATCAGCAGGATGCCTGGAGGAGGACCTGTTGGAGATGGGGTCAGTCCCCTTTCGCTGCATGTCCTTCCCTACCCCTTCTGTTGAGGTTTAGTCTGAAAGAGAAGTTCTGAATCTTCTTCCCACCCTGGCTTCTCTCTGATATCTTGACCTGCTAGTTCTCAGGACAGATTTTAGTTTCTTGTGGTCTGGCCAACGCAGGGAGAAGACTGGCAGCCATTCCTCCCTCCCAGAGATGGGGTCCTTAGCTCTAGGTGTACAGGGCAAACACCTAGAGATCTTCTAAAGCCTACTGAGCTCAGGGCAAACACCTCTAGAGACTGTGTGAGATTCAACTCACCTGAAAAGGGGCCCTGGCATTTCAAAAATGCCCCCTTCTCTTCTCTGGGTGGTTCTGATATGCATCCAGGGTAGAGATGTGGAGAATGTAGATGCTACATAAACATCTACCAGGGGCATCTGGGAAGGGTAGTGGCATGTCTAGCTTCAGGAACAACTTGATTCAACAGGCCGGTGATCTCATCAAGGGCTTAATTTCTGGTTTTTATTTTCTAAAATTACCCTGCCTTGCCTTGTGTAATATCTGGTTTTTAGGTCATGGTTAGTAGATAAGCTCTTGGAATCCCTACATAGTTGCCAGCATGTCTTGGGCCACATGCTTTTTCATTCAGCTTCGGTGGGAAACAGAACAACATTGCCTCATTATTTTCAGCACAAGTTTTGAGATTCACGCTCTCTGACCTGGCTTGTTTCAAGCTTACCCTTGAGTCAGTCTCTATGGCCAGGGGATGGTTCGAATCAGATGCTCCATTCCTGGAGCTGGATGTGGCCAGTTCCTCCTTCTTAGGCCTGTGGGCACTTTACGCTCTCTGGGTTGCTTGTAGAGAATTCTGATGCCCCCACCTTTAGAGGTTGTACCTTAGTTAGTTTAGGTGAGTCCTGCATTTGGTATTTTCCTAGTTCCGTGTCAGGTGGTTCTGACGCACAACCAGGGTGGAGAGCCGCTGATACAGGCGCAGACCCCGCACAGGCATGATCATGTGCACAGACCCTGTGCTTGGGCAGACATATAGATGCCCTTCTGGGAGCAAGTAGGTGTCCAGCAGCTTGAGGGTGGCCATGTGGGTGCACTCAGGGATCCCTAATAGAGCTGCAGCTCCTACAGTTTCAAACCATGAGAAGTATCAGCATCATCGGATTGAGAGTGTTCATATATGCACATGATGCTGTGGTGGGCTGCTTGTGCTAGCGATCCATGATTACCTGAGATGTTTTCTTGCACTGTGTTGGTCTTCTCATCTGTTACATGGGTTCAAGAACATCGTGCCTCTCTGGACTGGCTACAGGAGAATGAAATTTATGGAGGTGAGGTTGAATTTAATCTCCATAAGGTATCTCAGTCAGTTGTGACACCTTAGAAGATCCTTTGTGAACTCTAATGCTCTCACTAGTAAAGCCAGGACTTGATGCTCTACCTTGAATACAAAATAAGATAATGTGCATAAAGTTCCTAGTACAGCACCTGACACATAGTGGAGGTTCTGTAAATTGCTTTCCTCCTGAGAATGCTGCCATTAGCTCTTAATGTTTTTCATAATATCCAATGAAGAAGTCAAGACCCACAGTGTTAGAGCTAAGTGATGCTTTCCTTAGGACCTGAAACCGTTTTATCCACCCCTGGACCGTGACTCCTTCAGCAGGAGCTCCTGTTCCTATATCCCTCCACATGAGCACTCCACATGAGACTTCTGATTTTGCACTTTACTGGATCTGGGGATTGGCAGTCTTGTGGTAAGTAAGGCTTGTGTAGGGGCTGATTGAACTTGACATTGCAGATGGTCCCAGCATCTGCTTTTGAATTGAAGATTTGACTGGGATAGTTCAGAGGCTGCCACCACCTGGTGTAGTGCAGGGCAACAGAGTAGTCACCAATAACAGATGCCAAATGAAGGGACTAAGTTTCTTTTCTCACAGCTTTCCTCTCCTGCCCCAGTGCAGTCATGGAGGAAATGGTTGACAGTGTAAGAAACAGTTCTATTTATTGATTAGAACATGGTATAAAATTACAGCAATTTGCAGGCATTCTGGATTTTCTGGGAGGGACATGCAGTGCTGGGCTCGAGCAGGTGATGGAGTGAGTGGAGGTATGTGTGAGCCACTGGGTAATGACTCCCTTCCAGGGCTGGTGAGAGGGACTCGGTCTACCAGCACAGATGCTAATATAAGAGCGTTATCAGTCCTTGCCCCTGGAAACAAAGGCTGCTGGGCCGTTTGGTCTTCAGACCATGCTGTGTTCAGTCCTATCCTACATGTGTTAGGGGCTGGCTCTCCCAATGTAGTCAGAGCAGATTCTCATTGTTGTGTGAAATGCTCTTTCTTTCCACCACAGAAAGAGAAACAGGCACGTTGGTCTGGGAGGCCAGCAGATGATGGTGTACACTCGGCTAAGGTCTTCTTGCTTCCAGATTTGTCAAAGTTGGTTTGACTTGGAGGTAAGCTGGGAGTCCGTGAGCAGAAACCTGTGCGCTATGCTCAAGCTCAGGCAGGGGGAGGCTTTCCATGGGGCAGCAGTGTGAAGAGATGGGCATGCTTCTGGAACAAACTGGGATTTCCTCTTGCCTTTCTCAGCAGGAGGAGGAGTTGGCAGAGATTGGGCCGCGTGGCGCTGGGTTCCAGAGAACGTCTTCAGTGGAGAATTCTTTCAAAGTGTAAAAGGGGCTTCTGTCCCAAGAGTTGGTGTATAAATTGGGAGAGAGGGGTGGTCAGGTTGTTCAGGTGGCTGTTCAGTACAGTGTCCCTGGGAGCTGGCTGGCTGGGTCCCCAGTTACATGACGTTTTGGAACAGCTGGAGAGACCTCATGATGTTGTCATCCTGAGGAGGGGGGAGGGGAGAGAGGGTGGTAAGAACTATCTGAAGTCCCTCCCCAAGGAGCTCTCTCTGTCTGGTGAGCACAGCTTCCTTGGCAGAAGACCTCTATAAGGCAATGTGGAACGAGGAGCCAGGGCTGGGAGCCTAGCAGAGGATCAACTGAACAATCAATATGAATCGAAAACTTTTTAAGATGTTCTGAGTACTTGCATTTTATCAAATAATTTATCGAAAACCTGCCCTGAGTGCTCCTTACCTCCTGACAGGATTCAAGGAATTCATCCAAAGTCACGATGCCATCTTTATTCTTGTCCATTTTCTGAAAGACAAGGCAACAAGGGTCATTTTAAAGAACCTGGTCATCCGCATTCCAAAAGTTCAGGGTCATGAGCTAACCTTGCCCCAAGGTCAAGGTGCCCTTTCACTGGCTAGACATCTCTAGTAGGGCATCAATTCTGTGAGTCTTCAAGGCTTGCTGTAGACACCAGCACTTTGTTGCTGGACTCTTCCACTGTTGTCCTAGCATGTAGCTTAGCTATTTTTCATGACTATAAAAAAATACTCATGGCTGGCTATTCTATATTTTTTATTAAAAAAAAAAGCTTCTGGGTGGCTCTGGTAGGAGCCGTACCAAGGATGGGCACATGTACAGAAACGACCACAAAACGGGAGACGGAGCCAGCGAATGAAGAGGGACAATCTTGCTGCCTCTACTTACTTACTTTTTATTCATTTAAATAGCAACTTCCTTTGATGAAAACCACAGGATTAATCTATTCATTCCAAGGGTCCTGCTCCCAATGGCCCCTGTTAGGCCCTGCCTCTTTAAGGTCCCACCATCTATCTACTGACACGCTGAAGATCAAGCCTGCAATATACGAATCTTTGTGGGGATACACTCAAACTGTTTCCAAGTCTCAGCATATTTCCTCTTGGGCTCCCACCGGCCTGGCTGTTTGGCAGAAACATCCCTGGATGCAGAGCACAGGAGGTTCTGGTTCTGCTGCTGCTGTTTACCATTGCACGGTCTTGGAGGGAGGCTCCTGTTCTCCCATCTTCCACAGATGAACGTGAGCTCTGACATTCTTTGATATGCCACTGCTACACTGCAACTCCTCTGCTCAAAACATCCCGTAGCAGCCCGTCCTCTTCCAGGGCAAAGCTAAACACTTCCATCTCAAGATTCACACATGGTTGGTTGCTAGTCTTTGTCTCCCAATGCTGAACCTATGCAAACGTGCTGAGCAGTCTCCACCATGTACTGTTTTCTCTGAGCCATACTGTTTAGACTTTATGACATCTTTGCTCCTACCCTTCTGTGGGTTTACGTGTGTGTGTAATGAGATCACTGATTCATTGAGGACAATATAACTTAGGATTTGTTTCTGCTTCCTACCAGGTTTAACACAGGGTTGGATACAAACAACGGTCTCGGATGCTCATGGTTGATCAGCTGAGATCGGGCTTAGAGCCCGTGCAGTGGGTGTGGGCACTTACTTGGAAGAAGACGTCCACGTGCTGCCTTGGAGTGTCCTCTTTGAGCACGGGATAGGTGTACTTTCCCATCATGTCATAGATGGCTTTCACAATGTCTATCATCTCCTGCAGAGGGGACAGGGAAGCACATGGTGCGGGAACCATGAGGTCAGGCTCTTGTTGGGAGGCAGAGTGTGGACTCCTTACGTCCTTTGGCAATAAAATTAAGTAGGAGGGTTTTCTTTAGCAGATGAAAGGGGTTAGAGAAAAAGCTGAAGCAACTGGACTCCGGGAATCTTCCGTTAGAAGACAGTGGTGCATTTTCTTTGCTTTCAGGAGCTCTTAGTTGGGTCACCTCTTTCTGGGCATTGTTCTCTGTGAGTGGTGATGTGCGGGATCGCTACTAACAGACTTAAAGCAAATGCAATTCTATTCTGAATTAAAGACACATTAATGTTCTAGTTTACAAAGATGTACAAATCTCTCTCTTCCTGGTCTTAGCCAAAAACCTGAGAAGCAATGGAAAATCCTTCTCTGACTCACTCTCTCTGTAATTCTGTCAAGTAAAATAAATCTTTTTTTGAAAGATATATTAATTTTTGTTCTAAAGGAAGATTTACAGGGAGAAGTAGGGGCCAAGAGAAAAATCTTCCATTCACTGGTTTGTTCCCCAAGTGGCTGTAATGGCTGAGGTTGAGCTGGTCTGAAGATAGGAGCCAGGAGATTCTTTCAGGCCTCAAGGCTTTGGGCTGTCCTCCGCTGCTTTTCCAGGTCACAAGCAGGGAGCTGGATGGGAAGTGGAGCGGTTGGGGCTTGAGCTGGTGCCCATCTGGAATCCTGGCACTTGAAGATAGAGGATTAGCCAGTTGTACAATTACAAATAATGGGCCCAAAATAAATAAATCTTGAAAAACCAAGATGATTGTCTTACAAGGAGTATCAGCCCTTGTATCATTTCATGATTCAGATATTTTTAGTGACTTTGTCACTTGCTTTTGAACTTTTTCTGTGGAATTTTTGATGTACAGCATTTGAAACTATTATAGAGTAGAAATGTCAATACTTTATTTATAGTTCTTAACTTTGGTTTAGGTTTTTGTTATCAGATATTTACGTATGTTTCTTTTGTTTATAGTTTAAAAAGACTATATATCTATGGTTAATTTGGATGCATGGTATTAAGAATATTTATTTGTTGCTGAAATAATTACATATTTTCAATAGGGTAATTTATTTAGTTATTAATGATTTCTCCAGTCTCTATTCAAAATGCTTCTTTTACTACATGCCAAATTATTATTTGTATTTTCTAGTCTCTTCCACTGACTTGCCTGTCCCTCCTCTAACGCCATAATATTTTAATAGTTTCAATATATTTGTAATGCATGTAAATATCTGGAAATAAGTCCCATCCTTTTTCTTTCTTCGGAAAATTGTCTTTGCTGTTTTCACCTGATTTCCAACAAAGCTCTGTAGTAATTATGCCAAATTTCCTCTCTAAATAAGAGTTTAATTTTGATGAAAAATACATCCATTCAAATTGGGGAATTCCTGGCTTACAAAGAACTCCCCTTCAAGAATATGGTATGTCTCTCTGTTTCACCAAGTCTTTCTTTTGGTGCTCCTCAGAATATCTTTTCTTTGTCTAAATTGTGGATCTTGTGAAATGCCCACGTATTTTAAATCTTATCATCTTACTATTAGAGTATCTTTCTTACAGCTTTCTGAATGGCCACAGCCCATACACAGCACAACAAACTTCTTTTTGTGTATATATACTATTGCCAGTCATTTACTTCATTTTATTGATGTATTTTTTAGTTATAGTTGTTTTTGCTTTATTTTTGTCTCATTTTTTTTACCATGTAGAAAGTCATGTCCTTAACAAGAGAGGTCGCAGCTTTCTGTATTTCCATCTCATTGCTTTTCATGTCTTAGTAAAGTTGAAGCACTTCCAGAAAATGCTAAATATTGGTGGTAATTAGTCATGTGTGTTCTTGTCTTATTCTTGTTATCATCTCTACTGTTTCCATAAGTAATGAAACTGTGTCCTAGGCTAAAGTATTTTCTACTATGCTGGAGAAATATTCCAAGTTTATTCAGAGTTTTAAAAAATTTATTAAGAATGGATGCTAAATTTTATTGAATGTGATTTTAGCATCCTATAGCTTAATCTTTTGATATATTTATATAATGAATTATTTAACAGTTTTTTTCCACCATTGAATTATTCTTCCATTCCTGGAATAAACCTTCCTTATCCCAGTCTTGTGCACTTCTTTAATTGGAACATCAGGGTTAATTTCCCAGAATTTCTTTTGGGATTTGGGGGCTTTTCAGTCAATGAAATTTGATTTTACTTTCCTTTTTCTTCATGTCACACATGTGTTTATTTTTTTTGGTTTACGTGTGTGTGTGTGTGTGTGTGAGAGTGTATGTGTGTGTGTATTTATGATAGAAAGAAACCTTTGCTTTATTAGAAGATTTTAAAAAATTAAGCAAAACCTACTGAAGCAACTTGCTTGAAAAGATTCACTGACTTAAAATAACTGATGGTGTCTGATAAATGTATATGCCCGTGTGGACTCTAACAGACTCAACAGAGGATGCCTTTGGCACAAGAAGTTCTTATAGACATCTGTTTGCGGTGAGCATCTATAAGTCTTTGACACCAAGCAATTGCTGATGAAATTTCTTTCACTATAGGTTAGCTTGCATTTTCCAAAATTTCACGTTAGTGAAGTCATAAAGCATAAATTCTTTCTGTCTATGTTTATTCATTCTGCCAAATGCTTATGGAGACCCATGCCAATTTTGCATGCAGCAGTAATTATTTCTTTGACTGCTGAGTAGTATTCCACGGAATGGCTGTACCACTATATGTTTGTCCATTGTCCTGTAAACAGACATTTTAGCTGTTTTCAATCTGGGCCTATTATGAATAAAACTGATATGAACATCTATGTATAGGTCTTTATGGAATAATGTAGTTTAATTTCTTTTGAAAAATTTATTTATTTACAGTCAAAGCTAAAGAGAGAGGGAGAGAGATCTTCCAATTGCTGGTTCACTCCCCAGATGACTTCAATGATCCAAAGCCTGGAACCAGCAGCTTCACCCAAGTCTCCCCTCTTTCTCTGCTTTTCCCAGGCCTTTAGCTGAGCACTGGCTCCACATATGTTTTTGTTAAAAAGTTAAATATCTATTGGTAGTATTTCTGGATTGTATGTGAAGTATATCCTTAACTTCATAAAAGTTTCCAAAATGTTTTTCAAAAGTATATTGTGTTACGTTCACATCAGCAAAGAGAATTTCTGTTGCTCTGAATCCTTGCCAACATTTAATACTGTGAGTCTTTTAAAATGTAGCCATTCTAGTGGGTGTGTATTTGTATTTTACTATAGTTATAATTTGTGTGATTTGAGGGCCAAGGAAGTGGAGCACCTTTTCATGGATTGTTGGCCATTATCTATTTTCTTTACTGAATTACCTATTCAATTGCTTTGTTTAATTTAAGTTGAGTGATTAGCTACTTATTCAATTAGAAATTTTATATATTTTGGATATTGGATCTGTGGCATATAATTTGCAAACATTTTTCTCTAGGTTTGTGACTAATCTTGTGTTTTCAAAGTTGTCTTGTGAGAAATGGAAAAAACAGGTTTATTCGAAAGGCAAATTTTACAGAGAGAAGCAAAGTTAGAGAGATCTTTCATTTGCTGACTCAACCGCGCTCCCCCCCACCCCCGAATGGCCACAATAGCTGGGGCCAAGCAGATCCAATCCAAAGCCAGGGGTAGGTATCTATGAAGTTGGGTGCCTTCCCGTAGCTTTGTGGTGCCCTGGCCTCAGCCCACTCACCTCTTTGTTAATGTATCCGTCTTTGTTGATGTCATACAAATTAAATGTCCACCTGAGTTTTTCATGGACGGTTCCTCTCAGCAGAATCGACAGAGCAGTGACAAAGTCCTGAGGAGTGAAAGAGCAGGTGAGACGTTAACCACTGAGCCGTGGGGCGGGGGAAAGCTGGGTCTTTGCGTCAGATTCTCTGGTTCTCTGACCCAGCATGGTGTCTCCCATGCCCTCTTGCCCAGCTCAGCCTTCCCTCCTCTTCCTTGCTCTGCTTTTTGAAAGTGTTCTTTGAGGAAGAAAGAAACTCTGCTATAGTAACACCTGCAGTGCAGCTCAACACAGTCCAGTCAACTGTTGTTGCCTCATCCCATGGCTGTGATGTGTGTTGATCCAAGGCTAAGAACATAGGCTGTTTTTCTAAGTTCTAGTTCTGGTCCTCCTTTACCACTCCCCAGCTGTTTAATCTTGGGAAAGCTACTCTCTTTGCCTTCCTCTCCTCTCCTGTTAAGTGGTCATAAATAATACAACCCTACCTTGTAGAGTTATTGAGAAGGTCAAATGAGCTTACAAAGCAGTGAAGCCGACACCACCACATGGTGAGCAGCTTGCTGGCGACCTCTTACATGGCTAGTGTCAGTGTCTGAGACCCCGAGTTCAAGGCAAGACTGAGGAAGGTGGTTCTTTCCCGCCAGGAAATTTTTAGGAAATGGATACAAGTTTCCCTTATGTTGTCTGAGAGCATTTGCTGCTCCAGCTCTACACCTTGTGGTTCAGATGTGATGATGCACACACATCCATTGTTGGAGTGGACCCAAGGGGTAAGTGTACCTCGAATTTCACGGAGCCTGTCTGGGTGGTGTCGAAGGCATTGAAGAGGTAATGGGCGTAGGTGCTGGCATCTGAAAAAGAGAGACGGAAAGACAGGTGATGGGACAGCCACAGAGGAGGGACATCATTGAAAAACAGAGGCAAGGTTTGACCAGAAACAGGAGGGACTAACTGTTCTCTCGGTTCCTGGGGTGTTGGTGGGAAGTCTGCTAGGAAGAACCTTGCTGTATTATGAACACGTATTTGTTGCTCCAGAGGATCCTGGGTTTGCTTTGTTGGTTAAGATAGGAACCAAGGCCCAGAGAGATTAGATTTAGACAAGGAAACTCAGCCACCAGGGGGCGCTAAGCAGGATGGTTTTCCAGGTTGGACTCACCTCCGTGGGGGAAGAACTGAGCATAGATCTGTTTGAAGGTTTCTTCATTGACCACACCGCTGGGGCATTCCTGTGTGAAGGGGAGAGAGAAGCACAGTGGAGCATGACTGAGGGATTCCCAAGAGTGGGATGGGGGAATAGATAAGGCTCATTCTTGGGGCCTAGGGCTCCTTGGGATTCTTTGGGGGGAGCATTTAGGGTCTGGGCAAGCATCTGTACATTTTTGTGTCTCTAAGGTGAGTGGGCAGGAAGTAACTCCACTGCTTTGGGGAATGCTAGGTGAGGGGAGTTTACGTTTAGAGGAAGGGTCTTGGATTTGCAACCTGGTTTGTTCAGTTCTAAGCTTTGTGATGCTGGTCAAAGCCCTCCATAGGGACTTCTGAACCTGTGGCTGATTTGGGATCAAGTAGGTTTCACCTGTATCCTGTACTTGGAGGGAGCGTGGCTGGGAGGGCCTCCTGCCAGCCTATCCCAGGACCTGGGGGAGAGATTGTGCTCTGGGTACTGAACAACAGACAAACAAATCAACATCCAAGATGGGGGCTGAGAGAGCTTACAGTGGTCTGAGGGGCAGAGATTTATTAAAGGATAAGAAGCAACAGGAAACTCCTTGTGTCTAATTTAACTTTTGATTGGAACTCAGCACAGGGAGAGAAGGTTCCGGCAAGAACAGAGGAGAGTCTCATTCCCCTGTCAGTTCTGTTCCTCATGGCAAATTAATACAGCAACCTTCAGGCTTACATTACCAGTATCTTGTGTAAGCCAGCAACAAAGAAAAAGTGTCAAGCTGGGGTTAGAATCCAGGGCCTTAGTGGGGTTTCCAAGCCTCCATGACCCCTTGACAGTTTTGTGCAGTCAGTCTCTCTGCTGAGATTGTCTCCTCTCTACCTGGAACCTTTCTTCCCAACCAGGGGATCTTGCACTCAGGCCCAGAGGTCCTCCCTGGGCTGTTACATATATGGGAAACTCCATTGGGCATTCAGGAGCTCCCACCCAGGTCTTACATTTTTGAAGCCTCGATAAAGGACCTGCAGCTCCTTCTTGGTGAAGTTGGTCTGGGCCTCCAGTTGCTCCAGTCCCTCAGGCCGATGGCAAACCATTGTCATCTCCAACTCATCTTCAATCTTATCTGGAACCAGAGGAGATAGCATTGGAATGGTTGCCTCAGTGGTCTCTCTTGTCATATCACAGCATGAGCTGTCAAATGAGTAGTGGCATCCTATGGGCTGGGGTCTCACTGCCCACATAGTACTCTGGGAGTGCCAGGTGCCGTAAGGGAGGCAATGGCAGAATCAAAGATAGAAGAGGAGGACAGAAGTGCTGAAAATAAGTCTGTAATAAATACTTTTTTTCCTTCCAAAATAACCTTCTTTGCATATTCAGATGTCTGCCCATGGGACCTTCTGCATGTGCTGGAGACACAGGTGAAAGAGAACAAGGACTACTCTTGTAAGAGCAAAGGAAACAAGACTATTAAAACAGTACAGTTGCACCATTTGGAGCAAGTAGGGAAAGGTTAGAGTGACTTAGCAAAAAGTTCAAATTCTGGCATGTTAAGTATTAACGATAATGATTGGATAGGATTTTATAGTGTCCTAATTACAGTATTACTGGATATACTTAAATGATAGGAAAAGGAGTTAACCTGGAAGCTACTTTGCATAGGAGAGAGCTTACAAGGCATCTGAAAGGCACTGACACTAGCTGGTGGAAGTAGAAGTTGAACTGTACCTCCCGTCTGGACTATAAGGCAATATAGTGTTGCCTTGGAGATTTAAGAAGTATCTATTAATTAAAGCAAGAAATCTACCCACTTCCCATTGAAGTATCACAAAGTCCAAATCAGTGGAACTTTTCATTGTTTCACATGTGATGAGATCTTCCTTTGGGCCCTGCCAGAATATTTCTTTATAAATTCATTCCGACTATGAATCAATTCTCTGCTCACATCTGTCATGCGGATGTTACCAAATCCATATATTGAATGACTCTAAGTCTTGGTAGGCAAGAATAGTGGTAAGATGGATAGGCTGCTGGGAAGATCCACATGGCACATCACACCCTGTGACTACCAAGAGCAGGGTGGGGTCTTCCACATTGAAGACGGGATGAGCAGGTGCATAAACTTAGATGCATTTCTCTAATCAGGATTGAATTCTTTGCACTAGATTTTCTTTGCAATTTTCTGTTTCCCTTTGAGTCTCTGACTCAGATTAAAAGGAATTCATCCAAGTTTGTATTTTTGTGCGCATTCCTGAAGGCAATGGTGGTCTGGGGAAGGTACCAGTAACTTGATACTAATTCTATGTGGTTCACCACATATAACCCTTTCCTGCCAGGCTTAAGGCAGATGTTACAATGTAGGTGAAAAACTGATTATCCAACATAGCAGCAGGTGGCCAGTTTCGTTAAAATTCTTACAAAGTGTTTCATTATTGCTCTGCTTGGAAACAAATGAATTAAGTATAATGATTTGAATACTGAAGTACTTCCATCTAACTCAAAGGTGTGGTTCTCAAAAAAAAAAAAAAGTAAAGAGAAGAAGAAAAAAAAGTGAGAGAGAAAGAAAACCAGAGGGAAATATTTCAAGATGTCCACCTTAGATTGTTCCCATGTATTTACATACATTTAGAACTCATGTGAAAAGGGAAGTTAATTCTCACTTGAGCTCTGTAAGCACCAGACTGCACAGTAGCTTTATAGAGAATGCCCACGTGTCCTGGAGGAGCTGCCCAAGGCGGCTGTAGGCTACTTCACATCTACCACCGCCCCCTTATCTCTCCCTAGTGCTTGGTCCCTGAGTGTTGCCCAGGGATTCCAGTAAAAAAAAAAAGGGGAAATAGGCAGAAATGTATTAAAATACAAATCAGGAAATTGAACAATTGGATTTTGGAAAAAACCTATTTTTGAAAGTGTCTAGTACACTTTTCATTTTCGAGGTATATCTCATCCAAGGACTTAAGGGAATTTGGGGGGCTATATTTTATTATTCTTTTATCTTCCTATGACAGTGCTTTTCATAAGCTTAGGGAAATGACTGCAAATTTTAAGAGACTCTTTCAGATCCCCAAACAACTTGCCTTTCTTAAAAATGCACTTTAATTATTGAGCTACCACCCATGAAACACACTTCACTAAGGTGGAAGTGGACTTTTTAAATGTATAGTTTTTTTAAAACAGGATCAATTTCACATCACACAGATCCTGTGATACCAAGATCCTTGAATGATGGCTGCTCAGCTTTGCTTTATTTTGCATTTGCATGATTCTTTAATCATCTTGCTGCTGTTCCATTGACAGCAAGGGCTTGCTGCGGTGGGAAGCAGCCTGCCTGTAGAGAGCAGGGGCTGAAACCAGTGACTATCAATTTTTTTAAGATAATATTTTGTAATAAAAACTGCAATGTACAACACAATCCAGTATGCCCAGATAGATAAGCAATATTTTCATGAACTATTTGCAAACAAAGTCTCATGAAATAATACTGGTCTTCACTAACGTGGAATGTACTTTATTTTCATTTTAAAACATATTCTTTTGTATACACACATGCTGGTGGTGACCCGCACATGTGAAGATTTTTGCTTGGAAAACATTGACTTGTCTATACCTGTAGTGACCTTCCAGGGTGCCCCACAGCTGGCTCTTCCTCCCCTTTCCTATCTGCCTTGTGGCTCCATAACATGTTCTGTAATATATTCTGGGGAGACATTAGCAGGGGACATCAGTTTTCACCTCCAGCCTCTTGGCCCTTGGAGATTCTCCCAGTGCTACCCCTGGCAGTCCCAGTCGGGGAGGAGGGGTCCAGCTCCCTGGAACATATCAGGAGGCATTTGGATGTCTGCTTTTTCCCAGGGTGGTTAAGAGTCTCCAATGCCGGATGTTGCTTATTATTATTTTTGCTATTAAAAATAATGATAGGCCTGTTTCTGAGTCAGATGGAGTTTGGATGGTAGAGATAGAAGGTAGCCTAGAGATTTCATACTACGGAATAGCCACAGAACAACAATAAATTATACTATCTTCCTTTGTAAAATACTTTGAATCATATCCGTCATTTCATAACCTCAAGCCTGGTAGATAGTGGAGAGGGGCCCGTTACTTTCCCCATTGACTATTATGAGGAAAGGTGTCCCAGCAGATGAAGTGACTTTCTAACCACTTGGGTAGCTCTCCCACTTTGGGCAAAGGGTGATAGAATGATCAGTTGTAGAGGATTCTACAGAGGAAATTCCTAGACTGAGTAGGTGATTCAAATTAAATGGCCCTTCAGATTAGGGTCCTTGACTCAGATTTTGTACATGCAATGAAACCTTTGGACCCTTTCAGGGGATTAAAAACCCACACCAAATCAGGGCAAAATTTTCCCATATTTTCAGTGAGTTCTTGCATGTAACATGTGGGGCCCATGCTAATGGCTCCTAGTGTAAGAAGTTTTGTCTAAATTCTACTATTAACTGGCCTGTGTCTGAGTCCTAGGTCAAGTAAGCAGAAGGTGATAGAATCCAGCAATCCAGATCTCTTCATCAGCTCTAGTTTCCATGCACCTGCATAGCAGCTTCCATATTCCCTGAGCATAAATTGCAAATTGGTTTGTATTTGTAACCAACCTTGCAGTTGTCCTGCTCCCAACAAGCTCTGTGTAGGTACAAGTTGGAACCTCAGACTGAACATAGAAAGATCCATTCCTTTGGTGTTATCACCAAAAAGGTCAAGTACATGTGCGTGACCAAGGCCAGAGCCATCTCCTCCCTGGGCTGGAAAGTTGTTTCCGTTTGGCAGTATCTTGGGGTTGGACTTTATTCCCACACACCTAGTTTTGAAGTTACAGTATGAACATTCTTGGCCCAAGTATAACTCAAAGCCAAGTCTTGTGTAGTTTGTAAAATGTGTTCCAATATTTTTATTTTTTTTTGAATTAGTTGTCAATATTTCAAGTGGAAAGAGCCATATGTTGATAAAGTGGAGAGATTCCATGACAAGATTGGATTTCTTGGAAAATGAGATTGTTTTACAGGTTTGATTTCCAATTCTCATAAGGTAACAGTTAAGCAAAGCGGAACAGGACCATGGCAGCCATAGCCTCCAGGGCTCCTGTTGTTTGCTCTGGGATTTCTTTATTTATTGATTTTGCCTCCCTGGCCCCAGAGACAGATGAGTTCTTGGTTTCTGATTTGCACTTTCCTCTACTGTCCGTTCTCTTGCCTCAAGCCATACACTTCATTCCCTCACAATCTGTTTATTTAAAACACATTCCATGTTGTTGCAAAAAGGATTTGAAGCTCATTATAGGAAATAAATATAATAAAAATAAAGAGATAAAGTAATAAGAAAAACTGCCGCAGAAATTGTTGGCTAGGTTAAGTAGGTCAAGACCGTGGGGAGAAAAAAAGAGCACAGAAATTCAGGCTATTTGTTTAAAGAAGTTTCTAGACTTGAGCCACAAGTAGGCTCTCAGTTTTCACTTGTTTAAGAAAGGAAAATACCAGTGTGCCGTGGGGAGCAACTTTTTAGAAACTTATCTCTAAAATAGCATTGTTATGGAGGTTGAGTTTGGTAATTAGGGGCACAGAAAGTTGCGACATGAGAAGACTAATCACAAAATGTATCCTTGATTAAGAAGTTTTCCTTTTGTAAATAATACGATCAAAGTGGTTGAGTTAGTTTAAACTTTGTTTTTACCTCTCTGATACTGGTAATACCACCAGGCGATGTCTAGGAAAAAGTAAGAACACATTTTTACTAAATCCGTTCATTGAAAAAAATGAAACATAATTTCATGGTCCGTGGAGACAGTGTCCCAATCACCATTCAGCTCAATACACTAGGAGATCTCTGCGAAGCAGAGCTGGGTTGGTCTCCCCATCCTTTTCCCATAGTGAAAACAGGCAAGAGCAATGGCTCACCTCCCAGTGCCCATGGCTCCCAGCAGGAGGGCGCAGTAGTCATGCCCTCAGCCATGCAGTCATGCAACTGTCAAGAGATGAGATGGCAGGAAGATGTGCTGATATGGATGGGCCCTTGGAAATACCCACATGATTGAAGACTGTCTTACAACATAAGCTCCACAATGAAGAGGCCCCCACCAGTGCTCTCTGCTTCATTGTGACTTGAGGCTACATATCTCAC